TGATTCGAAAGCCACTAGTTGAAAATCCCTCTGTTGCAGAAATATTAATGTCATCAATTATACATGATACGAACTTGTGAAGTGGTATAGCATGAGGATTAAAGGGATATACTCCAGTCTTCTCAAATCCCTTTGAAGCATTTCCAGAACAGAAATAGATAAATTCCAGGCGTGTTTCAATAGACCTCCAAAACCGATTTTGGTTATTCCTTTACCGTTATTATTATGTTGCCATCAAGTTGCTCGTTGATAATAATAAGTTTTCAAAGGCTTGAAAAAAGAAACATCAAACAGCTGAAGTGCATGCGATGTGGTGGAAGGAGTACAAGTTTAATGTCGAATTTTTCACACAAATCTACTACTGCCCAGTTAGTGTGGGATACGTGACCAGCTAAAATCAAAATTACTTTTCCTTTTGTATGGTATCGATTAAAATGAATTAACCACGCCTTAAAAGCTTCCTCATTAACTCATCTTTTCTCTGTCATAAAAATTTCTGTTCCAAAAGACATGAGGCCATGATTTGTTAGTTGATTTACGGTTATATGTGCGAAATATTTACAGAGAATAAAAAAGAACGTGATTTTATAATAGCTATATAAAATGTCGAAAAATATCATGATCCAAATCACCTCAAAAAATCTGATTAGCCTCATATGTCAATTTCATAATATACAAAATCATCTCGTTTACGTAGACCTTCGAAAACGACAAATGGAGGTATGAAATGACCAGCTGCATTCATATATGCTATGACCAGAGAGAAGCCTGAGAATGGCTACGCCGGGGTTTTGGCCGACATGAATTGTCATGACTGATTTTAGCGCCATCCTTTATAGCTGGGAACTATGTTGACTACGCCCTATTTGCAGACGCTGCCGGTAAAATCTCTATTTGGTACGTGTCCGTTTTACGCCCATTTACTGGCGGTTTGTGTCTGTGATACGCCTATAATTGCGGGTTTGAGAAATACGGTATCGCGCAAAAACTCGTTTAACAGCACATGATTCTTTTTCTACACATGCATTTCTATATATATTTTTGTAAAAAATTGCATCTTCAAAACATTATCCGAATTATTATCTCTTGTTACATTCGTAATTTGTAACAAGAGCAGGCGGTAATTCTCAATCGACACAAAGCATTAGTTATATCAGGTGTAGTAAAAAGAAATCCATTATTTTTCCAATAGATGGCTTTAGTTATCTGTATCTCGCGTTGTATAAGTCCGATCGGGTTCCACTAGATGGCGTTAGAAAGATGAGATTTCGTACTAAAAAAACTTTTCTGACAGTTTTGTGATTAATTGACTCAGTTTTGTTTGAGCGCGCGTCAAAGATGGACACTAGCAAAGAGAAAATACGCTATATTTTACAGTTTTTCTTCGATAAAGGCGAAAACGCAAGCCAGGCGGCTGAAAATGTGAATAGTGTTTATGGTCCTGATACTGTAACAGCCAATCACGCGCAATTTTGGTTTCGTCGATTCCGTTCCGGTAATTTCGATGTCAAAGATGCACCACGCACTGGAAGGCCAATTGTCGAAAATATCGATAAAATCATGGACATTGTCGAGTCCGACCGTCATGTAAGCACTGTTTCGATTGCTAAAGATTGCACAAAAAACCGTTTGGAACCATTTGAATAAGGCTGGATACAAAAAGAAGCTCGATGTATGGGTGCCACACGAGTTAACGCAAAAAAACCTCATGGACCGAATTTCCATCTGCGAGTCGCTGCTGAATCGCAACAAAATCGACCCATTTCTGAAGCGGTTGGTCACTGGTGATGAAAAGTGGATCACTTATGACAACGTCAAGCGAAAACGGTCGTGGTCGAATCGCGGTGAGCCGGTGGAAACGGTGGCCAAGCCAGGATTGACGGCCAGGAAGGTTTTGCTGTGTATTTAGTGGGATTGACAGGGAATTATCTACTATGAGCTGCTCCCCTACGGCAAAACTCTTAACTCGGAACTGTACTGTCAACAATTGGACCGTCTGAAGGAAGCAATCGCCCAGAAGAGGCCAGCTTTGGCCAATAGGAGAGGAATTGTGTTCCATCAGGACAACGCCAGGCCACACACATCGATAGTGACTCGCCAGAAGCTCCGGGAGCTTGGTTGGGAGGTTCTTATGCATCCACCTTATAGTCCGGACCTGGCACCAAGTGATTACCATCTAATTTCCTGTCCATGGCGAACAATTTTGCTGGTGAAAAATTCGCTTCAAGAGAGGCTTGTGAAAATCGACTCTCTCAATTTTTTGTCAATAGGGACGAGGGCTTCTATGAGAGAGGCATAATGAAATTACCTTCAAAATGGCAACAAGTTATCGAACAAAACGGCGCATATTTGACCTAAATCGGATCATTCTAACTATGGTAATTAAAACCTTCAATTTCATGCAAAAATAATGGATTTCTTTTTACTACACCTGATATATCATTTTAGACCTTACAACTTTTGCCTGAAACATTTTTTCCAAAAACTGATTGTTTTTGAGATATTTTATCGTTCGAAGACTTTTTGAAAACCCTGTATATAAGTGGTTGTCCGAAAATACGTATCTCGTTAGATTAAAATTTCAAACTTTTGTAAGTGTTCTTCGAGAGAAAAATATTACCCAAATATGTTATGCGGTAAAAGCGATACGTGAAAGCGACGGCTCTGACTGTGAGTCACTTGTTGATTGTGAGCTGTTGGCATGCGCTTTGTCATATGCGAAGCTGTGAACAAATAAGATGCTTATTCTGAGAAATAAATTATTTTGTTATATGATACATATATCTTTTTTACTTTAGACCACATGCTTTCTTCGAAAAAATATACGAACTACTGTATAGTTTCACACCTTAGATTATGTAAGTCGAGCCTCTTTGAGTTGAACTATGCATGATAGATACTAGGTTGAGCTGATAATGAATTTTTTAATTTTTCTTATTTCGAGTCTGGCGCGGTCTCGATTTATTTTGTCTTTGACGTATGCGTAATGTCATCATATATACTTTAAGAACCTTCACTAGACGTCTACTAGCAACAGGCAACGGTGGTCTAGGAGGTTGGGAGCATTGGATAAGTAACCACAAGGGCCCAGGTTCGAACCTACCTACATCACGGCATGTTTTTCTCTGACGTGTGCGTGATGTCACGGCCGCCATCTTGCTAGCGTGACGTCATACCCCGCGTCCTGGGTTCCCCGCTTCCCCGCATCCCCCTCAGCACTCCAGGGTTGGAACCGGCCATACTATTCTACTAATGGTTCCAGCAGTTTCGAGAAGGAAATTTCAACCTTCAAGATAGTGAAACATATCCTGGTCAACCAAAAAGAGTGGAAGACGAGAAGTTGGAGCAAATTTTGGACAAGAATTCTTACCAAACTCAACTGAAAGTTGCAAATGCACTTGAAGTGATGCCAGCAAGTCATTTCCTATCGCCTACAGAAACTGGGGGGAATTCGCAAGGAATCTCGATGGGCCCTCATGAGCTAACTCTCGAAAACAAAAGCAAACGCCACGATACTGCTCTCTCTTTGCTCTCCAGGTTCAAGAAAAAGAATTTTTTGCACAAAATTGTTAATCGTGATAGAAAGTGGATATTATACGAGAATCCTAAGAGGCGAATATCATGGGTCCGTCCAGATGAGCCATCAATGAACACCGCAAAACCAAATATCCATGTAAAAAAGGTATTGCTATGCATTTAGTGGGATCAGAAGAGCGTGATCCATTATGAGATGCTTCAACCTTGTCAGACCGTCATTTCTGAACTCTACCAACAACAGATGATCCGCGTGAATGACGTACTTGAAGAAAAAGACCATTTACCGGCAGTGAGAAAAGGACGGTGATACTGCTATAGGGTATTGCCCGGCCCTACATAGCAAAAAAGACTCTGGAAACCATTTCAGATTTAGGAAATTCTCCCTCGTACGGCGTATTCTCCATACTTGGCCCCTTCGGATTACCACCTACTTCGATCCTTACAGTATCACCTAACTGATTTTCAATTCAAGTCAGTTGAACAGTTCGAAAAGAGCCTTGATGAATTCACTGAATTAAAACCACCATCATTTTTCCGATGTGGAATCCGACAATTGCCTGAGAGATGGCAAAAATGTGTAGAAAACGAAGGAGATTACTTTGAAAATTGAGTTTGTATTTATGTTTGTAAATAAATGTCAAAGTTGGTCAAAAAAGGCTGAGAATTAATTTGTACCTAACTTAATATCTTAACAATATTATTTAATTATTTACTAGACTAATTTAGCAGATTATACATTTAAAAACCATTATAATTTGCATAAGTTTCAACATACCTTTTTGTTATAAAATTACGCAGATGAGATCGAAATGTTACATCAGCGCCAAAATTTTCTCGTGCACTCGTGACTCGTGCGCTTCTATCGTCGACTGACACAAAATGACATGCGATATAGAGCTACTGTCTATTGTTTTTGGTGCGGGGAGAACGCGCGGAAGTAACAGGCACGATATAACAATTTGTTTGAAACAAAAAACTAACGACAACTGTCTTAAAGCTTATATTGATTCGATTCGCCCTGTGATCCGATTCGCCTCGATCTACCCTATTATAGAATAAAGTTTTTGCTTTGTATGAAAACATTATTTTTTATTTACATAGAAAAAACGACATCACTTCCTTGCCAGTCTGATATAATCAACTTTTTGCGTTATTTAATGTCAAAATCTCAATTTGTTTTTAATTTGTGGATAATATGATGCTTTAGATATGTATTAGAAAATTTAGTTGAATCTGAGGACAATGTCGACAATTTAATAACGACACTCACAGAATGCTCAAAAAACAGCAGAACTTATTCAGTCGTCGCTTATAGTATTCGAAGACATTCTGAGGTGATACAGTTAGTATATTCAATTGTTCATTACTTTCATGAATAGTAATAAATTAATACTAAAACTTTACGTAATAATAATATAGTCAACTCGTTCTTATTTATTGTGAAAGATTCATTGATATCCTAGAATCATTATTCAGACTGCCTCTTCTTATACACATGGGTTGTGTCATTGCCATTATCAGCATCGTAGGATTTCAGGTGCATTTTATATATAATAATACGATAAGATCTCATGACTTTTCCCTTAATGAAATAATATATCACTATTTCCAGGTGAAAACGAATGCGAAAAGCACGAGCTGTGTTTTACGGCATTGCGTTTATTTTAGCGGAGCTATTGTCAACACGTTCTTTGAAAATTGGCAAGGTCAGAAAATTATAGATTACAGCGAAAAGGTGTACAAGGCTGCGTACGTTTAATATAATAATGGCTGCACATTTTCAAAACCGCAATTCAAATCAAGTTAACTGCTCGCTGCACATCGATTATTCGAAAAATTCGATATCATATGACAATTAATAATATTAATCCACACACTTACAGATATAATGCACAGTGGTACGAAATGCCAAATGCAGAAAGAAAGCTCTTAATAATGATAATGTTAAGAAGCATAAAACCGTTGGAAATAACTGCCGGCAAGGTCATTATAATGTCTTACGTGAATTTCAATGCGGTGAGTGCAATTATCGAATATATACACATATGCGTAAGTATTCTTTATTTATCAAACATAAACAAATTTTTATTCAAGGTGTTGCGTTTGTCGTCATCATATTTTATGTTGCTACAATCTATGCAATGAAGTTCAAAAGTAACAAGCAATATTTATCATTTCGGGTGTTGGCCATCACGATTTAATTTATTAACTGATCCATTAGACATATGGTTTGTATACAAAATTAAATTTTTTTGTAATTTACGAAAATATTCTTAAATATTTGCAATTTTTTTTTTACCACCCAACATGGAATTTCCTTGTTGAATTTGAATGCGAATATTGTAAACATAAACAATATAGGAATGCGGAATTGATACTAGGGCACTCTACCTCGATATTACGTTTAAAGAAAATCATATAATAAATACTATGAGTAACCATGATTTAGTCAATATTAACAATCATGATCTGTTATCTGGATAGTTGGCTGTTTCGAACGAAAAACCATCTTCTCTTGTCAGTAACTCTCTTTGGTTACTATACAGGGTGTCCCGAATTTAAATGTCGAAACTTCGGGAGCGTGTAGGGGATAAATAAACTAAGATAAAAAGTCCTTCAGAGATATGCTCGTTTTTGCTTTGTTTTGGAGAAAATCGCAAAAGAAGATGAAACGTAGTTGCTTCGTTCTCGTACTGCTTCTGAAGTATTATCGTCGTTGAAATCGAAAACAATAATATTCCATTTTCTGGTGAAAACTTTTTTGTTTACTTACATTTCTGTCTTTCTTTTATAAATTTGTCAATTACTCATCAGAAGCCATCGAGTGAATTACTCCTGTCAGTATGCCGCGTACATATTCTAATTGAGTATGCTGATATGGTTTTCGTGTATGGTTTTTGCGACGGTAATGCTATGGAGACGGTGCGAGAGTATGTGCGCCGATTTCCAAACAGAAGAGTACCGGATCGGCGAGTCATTACGTAGACTTTTAATAGGCTGCGAGAAATCGGCTTATTTTCAATTCGTCAAGACCCGTTGAGAGAAAATTTGATAGAAAATCATGTCCTGCGTCATTTTAATAACAATCCTGAGACCAGCGTCCGGAGAGCATCAGCTGCATTACAAGTGCCGCGGCAGATAATCTGGCAAACTTTAAGAGGTGATAACCGCCACCCGTACCATATCCAAAGAGTGCAGAGTTTATTACCTTAGGATTATTTATAAAATATATTCAAGAGGTTGAATTTTAGCAATTGGTTTCTTCAGCAATTTGATAATAATAATTCATTTCCATCAAAAATAATGTGGATGAAACTACATTTACAAGAGGAGAAATTATTAATCAAAGAAATTCTCATGTATGGGTTAATGAAAATCCCAGGACTATTAGGGAATACAGGTTCCAGCATGAATTAACTGTTAACGTTTGGATTGGAATTTGGAACGACTCTCTAATAGGACCATTTCTTTTTTTAGCCGACAGATTAAATGCAGTCAGGTATACTAATTTTTTGGAGACCGACTTCTCTAATTATTTAGAAGACGTCCATCTGCAGCAACGGATTGAAATGTGGTTCCAGCTTGATGGATGTCCAGCTCATTATGGCAGAGATACTCGAGCTTGGTCAAACGAACATTATCCACGACGATTGTACGTGGAGGAGTAGTATCTTGGCCACCTCGATCACCTGATCTGATACCACTGGACTTCTTTGTGGGGAATCCTCAAGCAGGAAGTTTATTTATTGCCAGTCAACTCAAGAGAGCATTTGAGAGACCGAATCGTAGTTTCAGTGCATCAAATATTACCAAATCAGTGTTTGGCTGCAACACGAGCTGTTCGTACTAGATGCAATGCTTGTATTGTTGCAAGAGGCCAACATTTTAAGCAATATCTGCATTAAGTAAGTGACAACGTGAATAAATAAATGTGATTGAATAAGTAATAAATAAGTACAAAAGTGAAAACTACGTTTAATCTTCTTTTGCGATTTTCTCCAAAACGAAGCAAAAATAAGCATATCTCTGAAGAACTTGTTTTCTTAGTTTATTTTTCCCCTACACACTCCCGAAGTTTCGACTTTAAATTCGACTTAAAATAAACACCCTACATATTAAATAAATTTATATGAATAAAAAACACATATCTTTACGAAATATATATTTATCATTTTTAAATATTTCTCTACGGTTACTAAATATTATTTTGTACTTACATAAAATTAAATGCAAAAGCCATGATAATTTTGTTTGTTATATTTTTCTTGTTTACTTATTCGATTGTGCGTAAGTCAATAATTTGTTTATTTAATCATTGAAGATATGTTATCGTATATGTTTTAAAGGAATATGAAATTGATATATGTCAAGTGTGAAATCTTAATGTATATTTGGAATCGACTGTGTATCGAGTTGTACATGTATTTTTAGAATAAATATATTCCCGTTCGCAAGTTGAATAACGCGTCGTTTCTGTTGGATCAGCTAAGATGTATTGACCATAAGATTTATAAGATATTCTGTTTTTCTTAATTAAAACTAATAATGGGCTATTTTTATCTTTTTTTTAGAGAAAGTTAATTTTTATATCGATTTGAAATCGAAATAAGTAGAAACAATTTACTATCCTTATGACACACGTTCTTCGCTGTATACAGTAATCGTCATTAAATGGAATTCTTAATAAAAAGCTGAATCTGATTTATATCTTGAGACAATTGCATTTTGTTCTTAAATAATTTTGTTCAAAGTAATAGAATGACAAATAAAAAGACGAGAACAATATTGACTTGTTCCTAAGTAGAATGTTCCCATAAAATCATAATAATATTAGGAGTACTTATAAATCGTCAATTTTCTCAAATATGTAAATTAGCTTCAGTCTGGTTTAAGTTTAAGTTTCTTATTGACTTATGAGAATGAGTTTCGTTATCATATATTGCAAAGCAATGGAGCAAAGCTGTGGACTTATCGTTTCGAACAAAAATCGTTTTCTATTACCTGTTTTCTGTTACGTTTTTTTCGAAAACGGAATAGTGGACTACTAACCTTTAAAAAAATACACACGTCATTGCATATTGTTTCATTATCAATCAAAATTTAATACAACAACCACAACAATAAAAATTTGTGATATCTATAGAGAATGTTTTGAAGATCAAGAAGTATCAACATTGGTTAAAAAAATTTGTCAGCGGCGATTTTGACTTATCTGATAATGTTCGAAGTGGATGATTTGCTGCATTCGATAATGATGCTTTAAAAATATTGGTTGAGTCGAATTTAAGATTGACTATGTAAAAAATGACTAACACACTTGGGGTTATTTAGTCGATAATGCAAAGGCACCTTTTTTTTTTGGTCACGCAGGAGAAATCCTCATGAATACCGCCCCTTGGGGAGGGCAGGGGTTATATCGGACTTCTACCGACTAAAACCCCTGCGGGGTGCCAACCGCTCGGACCGTGGTGGGGGGAGTCAGGGGAACTACGCCTGCATTTCCTCAATGCAAAGGCACCTTCACTAAATCGGAAAACTACATAGGTAAAGCATTTCCACATCATTTATCGAGTATAAAGAACAACGACGAACAATTTGCAGATCGTTATCAAAAAAGAAAAAAAGAAATGACTTATTTCTTAGCAGAATTGTCACCAGTGATGAAAAATAGATATTATACTGCAACTTGAAACACTCCAATTAATAGCTTCCTCCCCACCAACCAGCTATACTCACACCTCAACTAACATTGCAAAAGGTGCTACTATCAGTTCGGTAGGACTGTATTAGCATAATTCATTTTAAGTTGTTCAAACCAGCTGAAGCCAGCTGTTGATATTTGTTGTCAGCAATAGTTGCGTAACAAATTTAAAAAAAAAGCTAATTTTGATCAAGATAAAAATGTTATGCTGCCACACGATTAATGCCAGACCTTATACAGCAAGAATAATTCAAGAAAGTAAAGTAGTTTGACTGAAAAGTTGTACCGCACACATAATTGCATCGGATTATCATTTGTTTCGATCTATGGAACATTCCCTCAAAAATAAAAAGTTTTGAAATATCAGTGATGTTTAAGTTCATATCGAACCATATTTTTCATCACAAAGAGCACAGTTTTATAAAACAGGAATTCAAAGTTTACTAAAGAAATAGCAAAAGATTGTGAATAATAATGCTAGCATGTGATAACATTCATACATATTATTTTTAAAACTTAAAAATTTTAATAGTCGCGGGTATAATAGCAAATATAGTATTATAAATTAATAGGATATTATAATGATATAAGGATATTATAACGTAACGTTTGAGAGTATTCGAATATTCGATATTACGCGAGCTTTTTTCAACTGTAAAATAAACTATAAAAATATGAACGAGAAGAACGGAGTGTTACATTAGAATTATGTTTAGAAAACATAAGACATTCTTACTTTTAAGCGAATCTACAAATTTTTCTGTAAAGATTGCTTATTTTGGGATTAACAGTTTTTATCACTTATTAGCGCATCTTTATTCTCGTAAGATTAACAAGTTTTATTTTTAATTTTACGCCTGATTTAATTGCAAATTATGAACATTCCTTTCTCCTCGTGGCAGGTAAAATTAAAGAGAACAGAAATTGAAAATGTACGTTAATTTGTGTCTTACAATAAGTCAGATGATTCATAGCCCTTTACAATTTTCCAATTAGTCTCGTTCGCGTATCTCACCAATCAGTTTCACTTGCTTGACTTTAAGACACAAAGCTTTGCTAATACAAAAAGCTTTCGAAGGTTTTTAAAAGCAAATCAACAGATAATGAATGTGTATAGACTTTTCGTACTTATAGAAATTATTTCGCGAAATATGTCACGAAATATGTCGCAAACGAATAAGCGCGTCACTAATAATTTACGTAAACACAACTCCAGTCGAAATATAAATTCTATATTAGGCTTGCAACAGCGGAAAACAACAATACAAGCGACAATATTGATCTTAGTTTGATGCTGCAATTGTGGCTTATTACTATGAGGTTGCACGTGTGTAGGTGATTGGATTGGAAAATGCGAGTATCAATATGACGTACAATGTATTTAGAGTGTTGTACTTTAATTCGGACGCTTAAAGACTTATACAGCTTCGGCTCGACCACGATTTGTAACAGAGCTACTGACTTCAAGGATTGACTCGCTCGACTTGTCTCTCTTGACTGCCTTGTTCCCGCTCCTTTAAT